CCCCCACCCACATCTTCATTAAGGCAGCCACGGCCTCCGGTTGGGCCTGCTCATGGCCAATGGGGCCTGCCAGGGACCAGGACCCCTGTTCCCCCTCAACGTGGGCCACCTACTCGACAGCCCTCCGCCCTCATAAAAGTCGAGGGGCTCGTAAATGACACCAGGGATCAGGGGGTGGGACACTTTACCCTGGTTCAACTCAATCATTGGGCTGCTCTCATCCCCGATGCATGGGTTGTGTCGACTATATCCCAGGGTTATTCCATACAGTTCCGCCGCCACCCTCCCATCCCTGGTCGAGTCAGAATGACAGTCATTCACGATCAGGTGAAAACTCTGGCAATGCGCACAGAAATAGACTCCTTGCTGGCTAGGGTGCCATTGTGTTACTCAAAGTGTTTTTTAGTACCGAAGAAGACTGGCGGCTTACGCCCAGTCTTAGACCTGAGGAGTCTGAATGTGTTTTTAAAGGTGATCCCCTTTCACATGTTGAGTGTCAAGGATGTACTTCAAGCGGTCTCTCCAGGCAACTGGTTCACCTTGGTCGACTTGAGGGACGCTTATTTCCGTGTGTCGATTGTGCCCCGTCACTGGAGGTTTCTCCGTTTTGCATTTCAGGAGAAGCATTTTCAATTCAGGGTTCTCCCGTTCGGCCTCTCCCTGTCTCCTCGTGTATTCACCCGGTGCATGGCTGCAGTCTTGCATCCTCTGCAGGCCAGAGGATTGAGGATTCTGCCTTATTTGGACGACTGGCTGATCTGTGCACCAACAAAAGATCAGGCCACGGCAGACACACTAAAGGTGCTCAGTCATATAGACCGATTGGGTCTTCGCGTGAACTGGGAGAAAAGCAACTTTGTTCCATCTCAAGAGGTCACTTTTCTCGGCATCGTGTTGAACTCCCTCACGATGACCGCTTGCCCATCACCAAGGCGTGTCAGTGGGATTATGCAAACACTACCCACCTTCCTGCCTGGTCATTCACCCCTCTCGTTGCTTACCTCTGCCTGTTGGGCAGGTTAACTGCCGCATCTACAGTGGTTCCCTTAGGTGGGAATGTGGATAAACAGCCTGTGGTTGGATCTGACTTGTTTAGCACACCGGCGCAGGAGGTTGCGGGTGTCCCCTCAATGCCTTCTGTCAGTGGCTCAATGGCGGGACGCGGCATTCATGACACAAAGGGTTCCACTAGGCTCTCTACCGTCTCGCAGAGAGGTCGTGTATACAGATGCGTCCCCCACAGGATGGGGGGCATCATGGCACCGGCAGACCATCCAGGGAACATGGTCTCGGAGGCAAAGGGGCAGGCATATCAACGCTCTGGAGTTGGAAGCTGTGCAGCTGGCACTGAAGCACTTCCTCCCAGRCCTACGCGGCAAGCATGTCCTGGTACGTTCGGACAACACCTCTGTTGTTTTTTATTTCAATCATCAGGGAGGGACAAGGTCACTGATGCTGTTTCAGCTCACCCGGAGACTCTTACTCTGGGCGGCCCCCTGCTTTGCCAGCCTCAGGGCAGCCCACATTCCAGGTGTGCAGAATGGGCTAGCCGACTTTCTATCCTGGGAGCGCCCACCTCTGGGGGAGTGGAGGCTCCATCCGGAAGTAGTGGAGGACATCTGGCGGAGGTACGACAGGGCAGCTCTCAACCTGTTYGCCTCTCAGGAGACAACACATTGCCCACTCTGGTTCTCTCTAGCAGACAGGACCAGCCCCCTGGGTCAGGACGCACTGGCACACGATTGGTCCAAAGCACTGTTTTATGCTTTTCCGCCACTTCCTCTGATAGCCCCAACACTCCTGAGGGTCCTTCAGGAGGGGCATCGGGTTCTCCTAGTTGCCCCCTTCTGACCCGGGAGGACCTTGTTTCCACTGCTGCACAGGCTCTGCTGGAGCTCTCCAATGCCACCCCCCCCCCCCGCCCCCAGGAAGGACCTCCTTTCACAGCTGGGAGGTCGTCTCATGCACCCCAATCCTGGTCGCCTTCGACTCTGGGTTTGGCCACTGCAGGGCCCGGTACTACCTTCTCGGGCTATGATGGGGAGGTTGGATATACCAGAAGTAATGCAASAGCCCCTTCTAYTCGGCTTGCGTATGCTCACAAGTGGAAGATTTTTAGCAGCTGGTGTCAAACTWGACATGAGGATCCTGTGCACTGCCCTGTTTCAGTTATTCTTGCCTTCCTTCAGGAGCTGCTTTCAAAGCGTCAGTCTCCATCCACCCTGAAAGTTTACATCGCTACCATCTCTTGCTGGCATGGGCTGGTTGGGGGAGAGACTATAGGCCGTAACAAGGATGTGTCCTTGTTTCTGAGGGGTGCAAGACATTTGCATCCGCCGCTTGAAAAACTTTTGTGCCTCCTCCGGTGAATCGAAGGTAAACAGCATGTGTCACGCGTAGCTGGGCCATGTACAGCATGTGGAACCTGACGTTCTTCTGGTACAGAGCTTGCTTCATGCTGTGGAATATAGCTCTCTTTTTAGCGAGCATTACGCTGATGTCCAGGTAAATCCTCAGAGTGGCACCTTGGTTTATGATGTTGTGACTCCTGGCCCAATGCAGTGCAGCCTCCTTCTGTTGGAACTCGGTGAAACAGACAAGGAACGTACRTGGTTAAGACCTTTGGCTGGATCGGAGAGTCGGGGTCTAGCGTGCTCTCTCACAAGTCAGTTGGCGTAGGAAAAACCTCCAGGCCAAAGCACATTAGCAGCTCCGAGATGAACTTAAGTGGGTCTTTACCGTGCTCAATATCAGGGATATTCAGGATATGGAAGTTGTTCCTCCTTGATCAGTTCTYGAAATTGTCAACCAGGTCTAAAAGCGACTGGTTCTGGATTTGAAGCACTTTTATGTTGGAATCTGCTGCAGTCAGCAATTCAAAGTTATCACCGGCGATTGACTCCACAGAGGAGAGTCAGCTCTGAAAAGAGTTCACCGTGCTCAAGTGAGTCCATTGAACTTTGTATTGGTTTGATTGCTTCCTTAATAAGTAGGGACACGTCTTCCCTGAGTGATGTCCTCTGTTTTGCAAATTCTGCCAACAGGTGATCCATCGTAATTCCAGCGACAGCGGCGAGCTCAACAGGTGTAGCTTGAGTCAAAGGGCAGTTAGCTGAAAACTAAGCTAGCTTTCCTGCAGCACCTGTAGCCGGAGTTTGAGCCCCTGTGGTTGATTTAGAATTCTTAGAACTACTCATTTTGGGAGATAAAGTCTTAATACAACCTAATGTTGATACTTAAATTGAAAATGAAAATTAAGGGTTGATGAAACAGGAAGAAAATACAAGATGAACTGGGAGCCCTCTCGCTTGCGTCCTCTCGCTACATTGCACGACCGGATGTCCCCACAATAATACATTTCTTTCTTATTGAATGTGTAGATACAGTCTGATTAAAACTGTGGCTAAACCACAGTCTTTTATGGTTTAAAGGATTTGGATGAAATGAGAGTAACCAAACTGAATTGAATTGAAACAGTGCAGCATCAAGAGCAAGTTTACACTTACTTTTTGAGAAGTAGCTTGTGAGCTAAGGCGTTACACTCCGGCCAACGTTCAAGTCGTTTGTACAGCATCATACACTTACTTTCTCTGCTCTGCAGCTCACTGGTCAGCTTTTCTGTGAACACATACAAGAGTACAACATAAAGAGAATACCTTTCCTTTCAACCCCATCTTAAATTTTTCATGACAGAATGCAAACAAAACATTAACAACAAGAAATGCGTCAGTAATTTGGCACTTACTCTGTTCCTCTACATAGGCTGGATTTTATCTTTTCAATATTACAGTGACGTTTACATCTTACCATTCCTACACCAGCTTAAATTCATGTTGTAAAAATAAAGGACTGTAAAAGGAATGTATATATGAGATCCTCTTTGGTGCGTCATTATCAATCCATTCCACTTGTTCATATAGAGTACTCGCACATCACTTGAAATCCAGTCCAAGTTTTTCCTGCACCCTTAATTGCAACGTGTAACAGGTTTACACACAGAGAGCAACAGGGAGGTTCAGACAAGGAGAATGTTCAGTGAAAAGTGGATAAACAAAGGTTTTTCAAGAAAGTTTGTATTAATCATCACTGCAGGTAGTAACCATAAAAATATATAAAGAGTAGATTCCTCGTAGACGGACCGCTAACGCTGCTGTTGTAGCGAATTTTTAAGATGTTCAGGAGCATCCTGATCAATCTGTAGATAATATCAGCAGTGCACTAGCTCTCTTAACCTGCCCAATTATCGGAAATTGGCAAAATGACGTGGCTAAAATGAATTGCATTGAAATAAATCAACATTTGCAAGGTTTAGCTGATAAAGCTGATGTTTGTGAAGAGGATGACTTGCAGATCGGACGTTTGTCTCAACTAGCTGTGCTCTTAAATGCCAGATTAGGAGTGGAAGTTCAGCTGGTAAAAGATCTACATTCTCAATTCATTGAAATAAGGCACCAAAAACAGCTTCAGTCAGAAGAAATGGCTAAATTGAGACAAGAAAATGAGCTACTGAAACAGCAACTTAATACCGCAGCACAAGAAAAGGA